TAGATGAATAATAATTTGAAAATAATTTTTTCTTAATAGTTGTAGATAAAAGTGAGAATGTCAATAATTTCGGATATTTCATTGGTGTATTCTTTTGCTATAAGTTCAGGGTTTTTAGAGTTGGTGGCATTTTCTAAAAATAGGCATATTTCTGAATAACCTATAGGAAATAACGGATTTTTTTGTTCTAAGTTTTTAATAGAGTCGAGGACAGCAAATGTGTTTTCAGTCGACTTGGCTCTTTTTTTTGGTTGAAATGTTTTGGGAACAGACAAGAGGTCTTATGATGTGTGAATATCAGAAACATCTGGAGAATTTGATAATTGTCTTTAGGCCTTATCTTTATTTAAAGGTGGGTTATCGTTGCTAGTTATAGATAGAGTAGGAGCTGGAGGGTTATAGGGAATATTTACTTCAGAAAGAGTTTTATTGGTGGTTTCAGTTAGCTGTATATTGGTATGGTTATTTGAATTAGGATTTTCTGGTACTTCTGTTTCCATTTGTTCACTGGGCGAATCCGTTTTATGAATGCAGTCAGCTTCTCGGTGTCCTATTTTTCGACATTTAGAACAATTAAATTCGTCTAGAGAAAGGTATATTCAATATGTTGTGGAATCAAAAGAAACGTTGAAAGAGTCTGTTATGGATAAGTTTTCTAACTGATTAATGTAGATTTGCCGCCGAAAACTTAGAACATGGTTATATTGGCTAAGAACATGGTTATGCTTGACGTAGTATCGTCTGGTGCATGATGGTGCACCACCATATTATAGCCTAGAAGTTAGAAATTATCTAGATGAAATTTATCCTCAAAGGTGGATTGGTAGAGGTAGTGTATACCCAGCACGCAGTTCCGAAATAAATCTCCTAGACTTTTACTTGGGGGGCTACCTAAAGTCATATGGCAAAATATTGTAGAGGGACTTAACTTAATTGGGGCCCACAGAAACTCATTATTTAAAATAACAAAACATACAAAAAAGATTTAAATTATGTAGGTTATGTAATGGTGAATATTTTGAGAACTTATTGCAAATTTTTTTCTTTTCAGTTTGAATTATTCACTTTGTAAATTGTTTTATATTTTTACTTCATTATTTAATTTAATCTAATTCCTGTTTTTTTTTAAATTTGTTACTGTGTAAAAGGTTTAATAAAAATAATTGTTTCAATCATATGCATTTTGTTTGCAAAAATTATCTACTACTAACACATTTATTATTCACTGGTATTTATAACCTTTTTGTAATTTTTTTTTCATTTATGCACGTCTCTAAAAAATACGTTTATTTTGAAAACTTTGTACTTTTTTGATTTGAAACAAGAATTCCTTTTTTTGTGTAGAATTAAATGTTACTACATTTTTTTACTAGAATGTTTATACGGGGCGGACAAAAAAATTATGGCCACATTAATAAACCAATTTGCTGAGAGGAAAAAAGGCAAAAGATCTTTCTTTTTTGCTCTATTACGGTAGTATGCAATTTTGGTGTCTAGATGAAAAATATTTTTTTCATTTAGTTTAGAGACAAGCAACTCGGAAGAATTCTTTGGAAGGTTCAAATCTGTCACAAGATCGCTTAGCTCTTCCTGAGTAAATCTATTATCTGTAGTTCGTCAGATAACGTTTCGATATTATCCTCTGGTAACATAGGCAGACTGCTCAATATTGGAATGGGTATCTGCTCAAGCTGATGTGGAATTGGTCTTATTGCCGAATCCGGGCTAGGATATATCCACGTATGTCGAAGAAAATTTTTTGTTTAGATCGGTTATAAATGTTTGCATTTTGTTAGGGAATGTACAATTTCTCAGCATGGAAAAAGAGACCTTACGCTCTGAAATATAACAGCCAATTGTTGGAGATCACTAGAAGAAAAATACTGACATAAGCAGGATTTGGAAACTCAGTTGGATACTGAAGAATCACAAAATACCTCGATACTTGAGGAGCACAGTGTTCAACATTGTGCATCCTTCCTATCATGACATATGGATGTCAAACCTGAACCCTAACCAAGGCAAATATGACAAAAATAGCCCCAAAGGAAAGGGTCATGGAAAGAGTAATGTTAGGTATACGATTGTCAGATAAAAATAAGAACGACTAATCAATATAAGCCTAAACTCAAACAAAATTATTATGACTGAATAGGTATTTTCAACACCTTTTAAACGAGAGATCACTTGCCATGAGGTCCCATTTAAAATTATTGGTCACAGTGGCGCTGTAACGTCATCTGTCAGTATTATGTCACCTATTATGACTAGTTGAGAAGCCTAAATCTGTTTATTATCTCCCTCCAAATTTCACTATTATAACAATAACCGTTCAAAAGATACGAGTCGTCGAACGGGCTTTTTACTCGCACTGTATGTACTTAATATATTGTAAAGTTGGTGTTAAACAAAAAAGTTTTTTTATCCCTGAAATTCTAGCACTATACAGCCAAATTTCTAAGGGTTCTGATCGAAAGGTAATTAACTCCGCTGCTTTATGTCTCGTCGGTAAAAGTGTATTATTGCAATATCGAGTTTTTATATATCGATGAGCCTGGCTCGCCATGTTTTTCATATATTTACGCGGCTCGTCATGAAAAACTACTTAAAATTGTGGATAGTGAATATATTCACCTTCTTTTGGATCTATTTAATACCATTTAATGACAGATATAGTACCTAAAGAATGGCTCCAATCGATATTAATACTGCTTCCCAAAAAAGCCAATGTAGAGGAGTGCAATGAACATCGCACCACAGCTTTAATGAGTCATGTCTTAAAGAAATTAGATAAAAGCATAAGTAATACACAAAGGGATTTAGAAAAAGTCTGGAAATACGGAATGCACTGTTTCCAGTGAGTGGAGATGCCTAGATATGAATAAGAAAGTATATGCCTGTTTCATTGATTTTGAGAAGACATTTGGTAGAGTGCAGCACACTCGGCTCAAAGAAATTTACCGGTGTCACCAGCGTATTCTGGAAATATCATAGATGGCTCGGAAAATAAACGCACAAGTTCTCGAACAACTAGGTGCAACAATGCAAACAGTCGTGTAAGAACATGTACTGCATTGGTAACTATTGGTTCTACTGAAGCAACAGGATGTAACAATGCTGTTGTAATATTCAGCGTACCATCATTTATTGCTAGATGTTGTGTTAGAACTGTCGTAAAAAAGTTTTCAATAGCTTTTTATCACGAATTGAATTATTTGTATCAGAGCATCAGGATCACCCTTTCGTTGGGTAACAACAAGCCTTTGTATATTATAGTGTTATAGTAGGTGACGCCATCTAGTGTCAATGGTAAAACTAATGCCATTTTAATATTAAACATACTAAATAATAAAATAATACTTTTCACTAAAATCGGGTGAATGATTTTTAATAAATCCCTAAAAATAATATAAAAAAATATTAATGAATCACCCTGTAGAACGAAAACTAGTAACATTTGGCCTAAGCAATTTGAGCTCAAACGCTTTATTTTGATATCGGCTATTATCCATTAGCTAATGTCCAATTAATTATGGGACACCCAATATATAACGACACAGCATAAGATGGTACTATCCCTGAAAGAACCGCATGATTCATTTTTCTATGCATAGCCTAATATATCTAGATTTGGAGAATTTTTTCTTTGATATCTCATACTTTAGTTTTGACTTTGTATTCTGTAAAAGTTTAATCCTTATGTCACACCCGGAAGTACATATTGCCTAAACACTTGATTTTATTGATTGAGAAAATTATCGGGTCTTAGTTAAGCATAGTGCGTCCTAAGAGGTAAATTATACGAAGCCATGAATGAACTTAACATTCCCCATAAATTAATAAGGCTCGTAAAAACAACTATGAGTAAAGTGATCTGCAGAGTGCAAATACAAGGCGATATGTCACAAGCGTTTGAAACATATGCAGGGTTACGGCAGGGAGACGCGCTGGCGTGCCTTCTCTTTAATATAGCGTTAGAAAAGACTATAAGAGATGCCGAGTTACACAATAGGGGAACAATATTTAATAAATCAACGCAGATTATGGCTTACGCTGACGATCTGGATTTGATTGCACGTACTACACGAGGACTTAAAGAGATGACTTCCACCTTCTTGACAGCCGCACAAAATATGGGCCTTAAAATAAACGAGGAAAAAACCAAAATGCTAGCATCTATTCCAAATAACAGAGATAGAGCTAGAAACGCCGAACAAAACTTCAGTATAGACCAATATAATTTTGAGGTAGTAAATAAGTTTACATATTTGGGTTCTCTCATAACAAACGATAATGACACATCTGAAGAAGTTAAACGGAGGGTACTGCTAGCAAACAAATGTTATTTTGGACTAAGCAAGCAGCTAAAAAACAGAAAATTTAAGCCAGAAAACCAAACTAATAATATATCGAACACTCATCCTACCCGTGCTGACATATGGGTCAGAAACATGGACCATCTCCAAAACAGACGCAAATCTTCTGCTCGTCTTCGAAAGGAAGATACTAAGAAGAATAATGGGCGCATTCTGTGAGAATGGTATTTGGAGAAGGCGATATAATTTCGAATTGTACGAGAAGTATAAAAAAATAGTAAATGGTAGAGATGTAATATCCTTCATAAAAATAGGTAGGCTTAGATAGGCTGGACATGTGTCAAGAGCAAATGAAAATTACCCACCCAGACGAACTCTATTATCGGTCCCAGTGGGAAATAGGAGTAGAGGCAGACCACGACTGAGATGGAGGGATGGTGTGGACGAGGACGCAAGGAAAATCGGCGCGGCAAATTGGCAACGGTTGGCGATGAACAGAAACGACTGGCGAAATAGACTGGGGAAGGTCAAGGCTCAACTAGAGCTGTAGCACCACTGATGATGATGATGAATTAAGCATAGTGATTTATTATTGGCATAAGGTTATGGACAAACGTATATTATAGTAACGGTTACAGATAAAATATAAAATTGTATTAAAAAGAAATAATGTCGACAACTTACCGACTGCAAGATGTGTTTAAACTCAATTTCAGTCTCGATGGTGAATTTGGGCAAGGTGATGGCAACCCTAGCAGATTCCATTGTTTGGGGAGCCAAATATAGTTTTAAGTTTTTCTCAACAGCGGAGAGTCCATCGATTTTGTCGGGTAAAACAAACGTCATACTAATATTTCCATTCTTAAATCCAAGTTCCAAAAATTTAGCCTTAAGTTTTTCGTTGTAAGCATATTTGACAATTTCTTCGGTATACATGCTTGTTATTTTTTTGGATTCAGAGGGTGAATTGTAGAATGTTCTATCAGCAGTATTCATTGGGGAGAAAGGATTTTTCCATTCTCCTGAGAAGTATAAAGCATTGATTAAGACTATTATTGTGTCAGGGCCCAAATTGTTTTTATCAATGAGATTTGTGATTCTATTGTTAGTTTTTTCTTCGACCCAGCTGTTCATCAAGTTAGCGGCCTTTGCTGGCTTAGAAAAGTCTATATTCTCAACTTCAGCGGCATAAGAATTAACGGCAATATCGTTAAATTGTTGCTTTATTGAGAAGTTTTGAGCTAGATAAATTTTGTTTGCTAAATTCAAATTATACTTATCTTCATTTACTTCTAGGCCAGTTGTTAATTTGCTATAAGCTTCATTTATGCTTTTTATTTTCTGGGGTAAGCTCAAACCTTTTAGTAACTGTTTCCTTGTAGTTCCTTTAGCTCCATTTGCAAGCAAGGACAATATGACTTCGGCAGATAATCCACTAAAAATAATGTTTTCGTTGCCTAATATTCTTACCAGTTTCTGTAACACAAAAAGTGAGATGTACCTAAATATGAGCAAGCAAAAATACAATGATAAAAGGGTATTAAAAATTATATTATTATCCCCTAACCATTGAGCTGGAGTCACGCAGGACTCTAAGTACTTTAGACTACTAGAACCCAGTAGTTGTAACTTTTTTCCGGTGACCTTGAATTTTGAACACGTTTAAATTAGAAATTATAGGCTCAGTGACTCCACCCCATAGTTACGGTAAGTTTTTTAATTGCTATAAAATTAAAGATTTTTGTGTAAAACCTGTTATTAATTCATTAGACAGTCGTTTTAAAAGTACTGTTTTAAGATGTTATATGGGAGATCCTTGTACTTTGACACGTTCAGACTTTTATGGCATACTAGCGGTTGAGGTGCATTAAGTAATTAAATTCAGAAGGAAAAAAAATTTTTGTAGCTGGCTGTATACCACGTATCACAAAAAAGAGGTTAGTCTTTGTAAATGGGTATATTTATTTAAAAAAACACTTAAAAGGGCTACATCAATAAAACAAACGTTTTCGGACCACACAGTCCATCATCAGGTTTTAAAATCGAAAAATGCTAGGTCACAATGCCTGAGCCACCAAAATACTAGGGTAAAAACCCTAAAATTACATTTAGTTATAAAAGATTGTACATTGTGTTGTAAAATAACTGTGAAGTTCAGTATTAAATTAAATTTGGCTAGAGGTAACACATGGCTGAAGCGAGTTCCAGAGCCGGTGAGAGAGAACCTCTACACGCGGAGAACAGCTGGTAACTCGATTAATATTCTTATATTTTGTCTATGTTTACACACAAATATAGAAGTTTTAAGCAATATATTTTCTTAGTTTTTGCAGACAATTCTGTTTATTTTGAGTAATAAAAAGCGAATATTGTAAACATGTGATTATCGTGTACTTTGAAACGTCGTCTGAATTGTACTTTGGACCATTTTCCAAAGTACACGGACGTGGTTCAAAGTAAAAGTTGTATGGACGGTAGACGGCTATAAAAATTTAAACGCTTATTTTTTGGCTTACAGATGTAGGGAAGCAAAACAGACGTTAAAAGAATAAAACCTGTAGCCGACGTCGAAAGTGCTGCTAATGCTGTATTGCAAAAACAGCTCAGTCTATGACAAGCCAGCGCAAAGTTTAAAGTATCTAAAG